ACCCATTGCCAGCACTCGGTTACCTCTCCTCCAGAGCAGTCTTGGGGCTTAAGTCAGGTTCCTCTAAGTGTCTAGGATCCTTCATGGCTTCTTTCCTTTCGTGGAGCCTTTTCCCATCTGTTGTAGGTCTGTTTGCTTGACCAGGTTACACAGTTAAATTGCACATCCTAGCTATGAAAACCATTGATCTCGTCTTTCTCTGTGGCTCTGTGAATCTTTGTTCCTGTGAAGGCTTTTTAAACACCTCTGCCACCCCCATCCCTTTGTCCAGTTCTGGAATTTTCCAGTCCCCAGACTTCAGCTCTGCAGAGAAACTTGGCCTGCCTGGTTTTCCTGCTGAAGTACATCGCTTTTGTTCTCAGATGCTTCCACCGGAATGGTGATGTGTTAAGCTTTAACATTTGGCCTTATCTGTGGCCGGGAAAGGATGTGACAAAGTGCTGACAGCACGTGGTGAATGCCACGAAGAAGCATTCTGTCATAGAGCAATATCGTATCCACCAGTTGTAAGTCGCACGTAGGCACATTTCCCAAATTGTCATAGATGTCTCGTGTGTTCACGTCACTCTCATCTTTGCCCAGACTGACTTCAGGAAGCATTTGTCTATGCGCAGGGGAGACCCAGCTACATTTTTCAGATAATAAATTGCAGATTTACAATAAAACATCACCTAGATTTCGTTAGCTGTGCCTGTGGGATGTTAACAGTGGTAAGATGCTTTTCCTTGCTCATTTAGAAACCCTTTTAAAATCTCATCCATTTTTCCCCATCTCTGACAGAATGTATGGATTTATTTAGTTCTTATTGAAATTAGGTAGTAATAGCACTGTCGTACCTGTGTGACCCCCAGCTCTACTGCAGTGCTTTGCACCTCGCCTCCATCCTTCAGGCCTGCCTCTTGCTGTTCCTGTCCTCACCGGGGACGGCTGTCCCTCTTGTCCCAAGAGGATCTGAACCGTGCCTAACTGCTGATCCTGCCAAATGATTTAGTAATGCCAGGGTGAGGAGAGGTACCAGCAGAGTAGGATGACCACAGTTCTTTTGTTTTTGACCTATAGTGGGATTTGAGCTCTGGTATGGACGAGTGATGTGCTCACTGCTCCCCCAGCCCCGATAACAATCCTTTCCCTCTGGGCAGCTACACATACCTGAGGATCTAGTGGGCTGTAGCGTAGGACACAAGCCAGGCAGTGTTAGTTACTCCTCAATGTTAACCATGAAAAAAATGTTGGATTTTAATAGCCTGAGTGTGAGGACACCGGGGTGGGGAAGATAAATTGGAGAACCAAATTAGCAAGCCTCTTTCATGATCCATACCGAGGGATGCTGCTCAATTTAAACAGAGGATTAAGTGTTGCATTCCAAAATCTTACATCTGTTAAGGAGATTAAGAACTGAAAGTCTCAGTCTGTTAATATTTCACACTAGGGTAAATGTAAGCCAGTAGACTACTAGCTCATTATCATCATCAAACTCAGCTGTAATGAGATTTTTATTAAAGACTAATGTGACCTCTTGCTTCACTCTTAAGTCTGTTACAACTGTTTGCCAAGGAAAGCAAAGCCTTTTTTTTTCTGCTTCTGCACTGCTTTGGGTAACAGGTGGGGCTCATTGTTCATTATGAATCCTTCCATGGGATGTCTTCCTTCTCCTGCTTTGCTCCTTTCATTGCTCTGTGTCTGGAGAGAGCATTTCATGCCCAGAGTGGTTGCTACCATCTAGCAGGCCTGTGCTGGATGCAGCCCCTATACCTGTGGGAAATGTGTGCAAGAAGGGCAGGTGTCAGAAACCACTTTCACCTGATGGAGCCATAGCCTGGGGTTGGAAAACAAACTGCGTTCCTGGAAGATGCATCTACATCTGTCAGCACAGAACTTTTTGATGGAGACCTTAGCTGTGTCTGAAGAGAACAGCTACCCAGAGATCTTCAGCGGTGCCAGACTCCTGCTGCTTAGTTTTAAGCTGTGGCCTTGAACATGGCTGGTGTGCGAGTGGAGAGGGGACCCCATAACACTTGCCCTGTGGATACAAGGCTTTCTGCTCTTTGCACTAATATCTGTTCCCCCCTTTCTTTGCAGGTGCTGCTGAGTCAGGTGCATCGGCTGCGAGCTCTTGACTTGCTGGGAAGATTTTTGGACCTGGGTCCCTGGGCAGTTAGCTTGGTATGTATAGGTTGCATGCTCCCTTCCGAAGGCCCAGGCTGTTTCTCAGTACAGTCGGTACACTGGAATGGTGATTGATGAATGCAGGGAGAAGACAATATCTCATGTGTTTGCTGCATGGCCAGTGTTCGAGAGCAGCCAGATGACCCTGAGGTCAAAATAAACCAGGTTGCCGGAGTTTCAGCAGGGGCCGGATGCAGCTGAGAGTCCTTTATATTTAGTGCACATTGGCTTAAAGGTTGCCACTGTGGCCTGTGTTGTGCCCCCTTTTTCCAGCTGAGATTGCACATAGTAATGGCTCCTACAAGAGACAAACTACGTGGGAATGAGCAGGCAGCATTTCTGGCTGTGGTAGGCATGCAAGACATGCATAACTAATTACCAGGGTGATGCAAGGCCTCTGAACTCCAGCAGCAAAGCCACAAGAGTTTCCTTTTGCTAAGAAACAAGTTAACGCCCAGCCAATTAGGGGATCAGACCTGTACATTTCATCTGCCTTCAAATGGGAGTGATCCGGGGCAGACGCACCTGAGAGCAAGGCAGCTTGGAGTCAGGGCAGAGGCTGAGTAAGCGCGTGCTGTGACCTAGCTGTGCAGCTGGTGCTGGAGCAGTCCTGGAGCACTGCACTTCCACTCCTAAGTATAAAACTGTATTTAAACAAACAGCATCGGGAAGCAGTGGCTGGGACAGCTGGACTGTTTATATCTGCCATATACACTAAATTAAACATGGAGCGAGCCATGTCTTTATCATTTCCCAGTCACTCAGCTCATGGACTGCAACCCTTTTCCTCAACTTTCATGTGTTTGGTCTCTGTGTTGTGCGAGCGCTCTGGGACTGGGGACAGCTGCCTTCTGCATTTGGAAGTGGCCTGGCACAGCATGGGTGATAAGTAAGAATGAAACAGGAGATTCACTTGAAATACAAATGTAAGTGGTTTCAGTTGCCTCTTGTTAACAGACAGGGCTCTTGAGGAGTTAGCGGCAGACAGTGAATAAGTGCCTTGACTGGACTTCCCATGGTTTTGTCTTGTAGCTCCCCATCCACTCCAGATTCTGGTATCCATCTCCTGCAGGCATGGTGCAGAAAGCATGGCCCTGCCAAGGGTGTCAAAAGTGGCATTTGGACTGTGAGCTTCCCCCTCGGGCTTGAGGCTTACAGCCTCTGGGACCTGTTTAATGTCACCATAACCTTCTTTATGCTGCTTGCTACCTTGAGTGTAAACCAGGTGGGCCATAGCAGCATCTGGTACAGTTCCTGTCCCTTCTGTGCTCACTTCACACCTAATGTGGCCTACAGCAGACTAGGACAGTGTCTGGTGAGCTGCTTCCCACCTCTGTACCACTAGTGCAGCCTGCAAGTGTCAGAGATGGGAGCAGAATCCCTGTGCTGAGGTTCATTTTGCACTGCATTTGTATAGGGTATCTACAGCCACTCCACAATGGTGGGATGCACAAAGATTTAACTAGCTCTCTGCCCCCCCGTGCGCTTAGTCAGTCTCTAATAGCATGCAAATAGCTTCTTTAAAAGCCCGAGTAAGGGGGGAACTGTGTGAATTCCAGTGGAAGGATTGTAATTACCGAGTCGGCAACATGTTTACCTGTGGGAGCAAATGGGCCCATCTGGGGGAGGAGAGTGGCATGTCGTGAGGCATGAAGTACCACATGCTGGAATGAGTGAAAGCTTAGTGCAAGATGTGGTCTGGGTCTCAGCGGAGCAAACACATCTGAAAATATCTAGTGACAACCAAGGTTCAAACAAGCACCAGACCAGGAGATGGGGATCCCTAAATGCAAGTGACTGTCTTCCACCTGATTTCTCTGTGGCATAACCAGTGTGCCATTCAGCCCTCGTTCGGTGGTGCTCCTGCAGGAGGTCAGTGACGCTCGTGGTGATATACTGTTCTCTCTTTCTCCCCAGGCCCTCTCTGTTGGCATTTTCCCTTATGTGCTGAAGCTCCTTCAGAGTTCAGCTCGAGAGCTGAGACCACTTCTCGTCTTCATCTGGGCCAAAATCCTTGCAGTGGATAGTGTGAGTACTCCCAGACCATTACCGCCATGCCAGTTCCTAGCACAGCTGTCTTCCTTAGCCAGCTGCTTTCAAAGGGATCCATACTGAGGTAGTGGGAAAGGCAGTCTGTGCCGTCTGCAGTGGACCCAGCAAGTCCTTCCAGTGAGTTTCCAACTATCAACAGGGCTCACTGCCCAAACTTATTCATGCAAAATCCCCACTGGTGGGGTGACAAGCCTGATATGAAATGGCTCATTGGCCTACCTGCTTGTTAACCTGATTTTTTCCAAGCAAACAGCAGCTCATTGAAGAAGCTATTCCCATCTGCCTGGAGTGAAGCGACTCCTGTCTTTGTTCATCAGGCACGCTGAAATGTTGTGGTGATTGAAAGAAATTCCAGGTCTGGCCATGTTTGTGTACAAGGGGGACCCGTGATTTAGAAGTGCGGGGGTCAGTGCCTGCTAGATCTCATAGCTCAGTCCTTGGTGATGGGTGTGCGCACTCCACGTTCAAAACACGCAGATGTGTACTACTTGGTGTGAAACTTGATTTGGCCAGGACAGGTCCCTTCCAGAACTAAAACAGCACCCCCATAACTAGTATCTCAAAAACTAGGTATCATGGAGAGTTTCGCTACAAATGTTACTCACAATCTAGTCCTGTCCTCTTCTCTGTGCTGTCACGAAACCAGAATTTGCTGGGCTTCACAGTCTTGACCAGTCCAGAGAGGGCAGGACATTGCACTGCTTCTACAGAAGGCCCTGGATGCTGTGCTGCTCTTCCCCTCAGGACACACACTAGTAGCTCTTTGGCATCCTTCAGGACCTGGCCTGAAACTTGAGGCCAGATTTTTGAAGACGGCTGTAACTGAGACTCATAATTTTTTTAATACAAGTAATTGAGAAGGCAAGTAATTGCAGGTGAAACTGCTCTTATGCATGCAGCTCCTTGGATTGTGGGTGGGAGCAGCAGTTCAGTGTGTAATTAGCAACACTGATACCCACAATTAATCGCGGGCATGGTTATTAGCTGATATAAAAATCTCCTG